CACCCTCAAACTCCAAACTCCAACACAGGAGCTCCAACAAAGGTCAATTACTCACTACTCCGCTCACTCTCTTCTTTGGACTGAGTAGTTAATAAACCAAACATATAGAGCTGTCTCCGTCACTTGACATCTTTAAATCAAGGCTGAATGTTAACCACAAAACCCCTAACCCACAGGATATGGGATTTATAAAGGTGACTGCATAAAATTCTGTGGCCTGTGTTATGCAAGAAGTCAGACTAGGAGATCACTGGCCTTGCAGGTTATTAAAGTATTAGTGTTGTTAATATCCACACTGATTAGTGAACTTTAGGATACTTTTATCTCTGGAAAATTCACAGTGCTGTTCAGGGTTCCTTGCTAGATATTGCTAAAATCCCAGTGAGTTTATGCAATGTTTCTAGGTGACTCTACAGAAATCCTCTGCATTGCTGATAAATAACGGGTTACATACTGTGTACATGTGAGAAGTGTCTTGGCTGACAACAGTATATCGAGTACGTTGTTTTGTATTTTATTAGCCCAGAGAAGGTCACCTTTGGTAGAGCAACCCTGATACCTGCAAGTTAAATTCAGTTTTACACAAAAAACACATATATGCCCACACCCACTCATGTTCATTATTAAGAGGGAAGGAGATGGCAGAGCCAATGACTCACCAAAATTTAATCAAATTCATTTATATAGTTTGAAACAGACCTGAAGGTATGTACATTTGCAGCAGCTGCCTCCCTCCAATGGGCCAATTTGCATATTTAAATTAGAGTCCACCGTTTCATTAGCTTGTTCTAGCTTTTAGAGTGACTTTCCCTGAGAAGCTGCCAAGAGGGCTGAAAAGTACAGTTAAGGACATATTGGAGGTTAATTTGTTGCTGAAAAGCTTCAAAGAATATTCTATATAAATGCAGACAATTTAAATCCAAGAAAATCATTCAGTGCTTGTACAGGACATGAGTACTTACCCCAGGGGTATTCAAATTAATATTTTCAAAATACACAACATCTTAACATCATATAATATATGTTTAGCAAAGTGTATCTCCAAAACATTCATTTTATTTTGATAAATGCTCAGTGCTTTTGCTGAAATCTATGCCATTTTTGTACCTGTAAGTGATATGTTTGTGTTGCCACTTCTGTCCCGTTAATGCATAACGTTTCCGACGAATGTTAAATTTGGGGCTACCTCTCGTCTGGTCAGGCACACCACATCGAGGCCTCTTCATCCAGCTGCAAAAGTTAGTAGGACACAATTACAGGATCTTAAGAACTACATAAATGCCAGAATATACATTACAACAAACTTTCCCAACTAACAGTACTGAAGACACCTTCTTAAAAGCTATATATTTTTTAAATGTTGTATTCACAGCAGTGATTTCAGACAGATGAGGTCATGATATCAAAGAACTGTTAATGGTTTGTGGGACTAGAATAATATGAGGCATGAAGGCTGGGCTACAACTAGTGCTTTTCAGGCACAAATCTCCCCCAAACTTTTTTCTAATTTTCCCTTACTGCAGTCTCTGAACAAGGACTCCATGGTGCTCCTCTGCTGGTCAAGTTCTAAATCACCATTTAGTCCCTTAGCAGTAATAACTTATTCTAACCCTTATGAATTGACCAGCACCTAATGATAGGATTACTTATGGAAAGGAGGTTAAAAATTTACAAGCAATTTTAGTCAAACCACTGGTTTTTAAATGACAACTTCTGAGTTCGAGTTCTTTTGTTTCCATCCTAGTATCTCTGCATTTGATCCTGTCCACAATCCTTTAATTACAGGGTTCAGTTCAAAGACACAAAAAGATTTTATTTCAAGACTCTGGGACTGTTAAAGTTATTATATTGCCAAGCTCCCCATTAAATATTTTTACTGCCCTAATGTACCTCTGAATAATGAAGAGCACCATCCCTAATTAGCAACTGTACTTTTTCCAAGGAGCTATCTAACTCAAGGATTCTGCCTGACATGTCTGAATGTGGTATCAACTCTAAAGGTCCTGATCAGCTTCTGCCATATTCCATCAGAATCCAACTAGAAAATGCCAATGTGAACTAAAAGAGAAATAAACACAAAGGCCATGTCCAGATGAGCACGGATGTGCAGTATGTGGCACCACAGACCCATCTGCAGCACCACACACTGGAAATGGATGTGAGGTGTTCCCCACACTGCTACCTTGTACTGGAGGGGG